GTCCCATGATCCTCCAAGTAGAGGAATCAGACGGCTGCAGTTGGGCCCTACCAAGGAAGGCTTTGGGTTCGTATGCCTCAAGATCCCGGTTTCAGATCCGCGTCGACAAGAGAGTAGACCCGGCCTCTTCTGCGATTGCAAAGACCGAGGTGTCGTGATGTACTGTGCGCAGCGCATCATCCACTTCAGGCCAAGGGTTTTTTTTGAGGACGCTTTCAGCCCCTGGGCCAAAAGATCTTAGCCCCTCTCCTGGCAGGGCCTCCAAAGAGACCTTCTTCACAACTCCGCGCCTGGACAAGGCGGTCCTCGCAGGTGCTCGGAATGGCCTTGTGTGTGTGTGTCTGTGGGCGACCGTGGGTGTCCATGTTTGTGGCGCTTGGGATGTTCAGTGAACGCGATTCGGAGCACCGTCGTTTGTCCAGAGGTTGGGCCCTGCCTGTTAGCCAGCTCGCTGTGACATCGGCGGGCTGGGCATGCAGAGCTGCCAGATTCGAAGCTTGCACGCAATGCTGCTCCAGGGCTTTCGTGCCTCTGCCTTCCCAAGCTGAGTTGCTTTGGTATGGCCCCGCTCTCCAAGGAACTCGTAGCTTCTGTGCCCATCTGCATCACCACCTTCCTGGCCAGCTGTGGGCTTTACTTGGTCCTCCTCTCGAAGGACAGCCCCAGTGCCTCCCTTCTCTCGTGTGAGTCTCGGTGTGAGTTGTAGGCCCTGGACCACCACCAGAGCATCCGGTATCTGTACGCCACGAAGAGCGAGTCCGCTGCTCAGTGCACTTCTACGCGCCCTAACCCTGGATCCCAAAAGCCTAAAACGTCGCAGTGAGAAACCCAAAGTGGCAAAAGCTCCAACACCACATCGCCTCAAGCCTGGTTCATTAAGAGACCCGAGAGTTGCAAGGCCCACAGACCCTCAAGCCCTTAGCCCTTGGCCCGAATCCCATGAGCTCGGAAGGTCCTACAAATCGGCCTCGGCTAGACTGCGCTACAGCGGCCCCCTCGGACTTCTGGTTTAGTCAAAACACGGCCATGGCTTGAGACTTGTAGGAGTTTGGGGTAAGGCTCTTAGCACTGTCTCTTAGCGCTTGAGTTAACAGGGTTTCAGAGTTACAGCTACTATGGGCAGAGATGCGGAACCTCACCAGCAGCCAGGTTACTTCAACACCAACCCCATCCATGTGCTCATGGCGCAGCACATGCCGGACATGGGCCTGAGCGAAGCCACCTGGTACGAGGCGCTGAGCCTTGTTGCCCAAGACCCTCAGAGCCCCCGAGCTCCCAGAGGAAGCTAGAGGAACTGATGAATCTTTGGGGAAAATATGCATCTTCGTTTGTACATGTAGACATACGCAGCTGCACCGTTGTTTGTTCAACATCCGCATGTGTATGTGCCTCCGTGTGTGTATACAGATACAGACAGATGGATAGATGGATAGACAGATGGATAGATGGATAGATGGATATCCTTATTAGTTTGGCTACTCTAGGACGCTCTTAGGCTCCACAAAGCCAGGCGGGGAAGGCCTACCTCCAGGCCGAGGATCCCAGCATGGATGCGCGCGAGAGCCCCAGAGGGATTCCGAGAGACAACTTGCCGAGGACCTGCCCTGAGACTCCATCCAGGGTTTCTGGNNTTAGGGTTTAGGGTTTAGGTTACTGGTTTAGGGTTTAGGGCTGAGCCGTAGTTCGTGGAGGGGGATCCTAAGTCCTAAGTAGAATCTAAGGAGGATAAAACAAAGTATTTTTACACGGGGTCTTGGACTCGCTGGGTGAATCTGCGCCATGTGACTTTAACTGGAATGGGACTTAAAAGCTTGAGTTGAGAGGCCTCGAAGCGACTCGGGCGCTGGCGGAACAAGCCGAGGACGACAGATGTTGGAGGGTAGCAATGTGAGAGTGAGACTTCGACAGCATCTTGCAGAGGGCTCGGCAGTGCTGCTGTGTGTCTTCAGCCATCCTGTTATGGCGAGATGCAGGATACTCAGAAGCGTCCGCGATCCTTCCTTTCCCGAATGGTCTACAAGGCGCGACTTCTGCTGCCGTCACAAGTACAGCATAGCACTTGCAACCTCCCCAAGTCCATGTCAATGAGGCTCGCGTTTGGTTCACCGGTGCCCCAAAGCACGCTTACCAAGCCCTGGATGACACCATCCAGTGAGCGCCTGCAAAGTCGGTGCCGCGAGCCGCCTGACTCTCGTTTCCCATGGCATCTCTCAGCGCCTGAAAGTCACATGGGTAGTTCTCTAAATGAGGGTCCCTTTTAGGGCCCCTTTTTTATGAGGGTGCCGTACTATATTGGGGACCTAAAAAGGGACCCTGATTTAGAGAACTACCCACATTCACAGATTGAGTTCTCCACGGCCAGTCGGTTTCCCAAAGCACATGTGTCAGCTGGTGTAAAATTGATCAATGTTCATTGTTCAAAATTCGACTGCAGCATCAGGCAAGTTAATGGCTGGAGATGGCATACTTGTGAATACACCAAATTTTCAAGATTATTGGCGGCGGACCATTGTAGTGTCAGGAATATAACTGATGAACTTAACCATGCAAACCCGCAGCCCTAGGCACATGAAGTTTCAGGCTACATCGTAGGCACTTCCAGCATTTGCTAGTGAACGCAAAAGCTCCAGCAGCTGGATGTGACTGGCATGATAGCGTAGATTTGTTTGGCGCTCCTGGTGTTGTGGACTCAGCAAGGGAACATGTCCTAGATTGCCCTGTGCAAGTCCGCGACGTGGAACATTTCTGCATGTGAGGTGCATGCATGGCGTGCATCCTGGCAGAGTTCGACTGTGGGCACAAAGGCCTGTGTCTGTGCCGGATGATTTGGAAGCCGGAAACCTTCTGCAATGTCCTATTGAGCCGATGCCATGATGATATCTGAGTTCGGCATGGCTTTTTTTCAAGTGCTCCCTTGCCAAAGGTGCAGTACTGGACACCCAGTTGGATGACCTGTGCCTGAGATTAGCCACCGCGTGCGGCTCTCATGAACTACGTCGAAGTCCTTGCATTTGAGAGGCCTATGTACTGTGCATCTGCACGGCTACGGATGAGGTCATCAGATGGTTTGGTGAAGCTATGGAAGGTAGACAAGCCGGAGGAGTGCTTTCTTGTCCCTGCCTGCTGCACGTGTGTCCTCAGACATGTAGTCCTTTAGACGATGTGCCTGCAAGGCAACATTCTTGATTAGGCCAAGACCCAAACCCCAAAGCCCTATCGGCAGCAACGGCCTTCTAACAGGAGCCCACGTTCATTTGTGACCTGGCCGCCCACTCTGGAGCCGTCCATCAGGTGCCTGGCGGCATGTGCATCAGTGCGGCCGCATGCTGCCACCTCCGCTCTGCTATGGCGAAGAAAATGGGAGTTTCCGAAAATAGGGGACCCTTCTATAGTACCCTAAATAGTAGGACCATTATTATAATACCCCCAAAATAAGGTACCCCTATTTTCGGAAACTCCCAAATGATTCGGAAACCCTAAACCCTAAACCCTAAACCCTAAACCCTAAACCGTTCTGAAGTTGGGTGCCGTGCTGCACAGGTCTCCTGGGCTCCTGCTGGAACGGGTGCAGGTTCACTGCTTGTGTCAGTTGGCGCCGACGGACATGTGCCCTGGATTCACTAGTGACCGTTTAGGGGTTTTAGGGGTTTAGGGTTTAGGGGTTTAGGGTTTTAGGGGTTTAGGGTTTAGGGTGCCGTCTTAAACTTTCTGTGCTGTCTTGTTTCGTTGGTTGGACGTCGGCGTGAAAGCCGGCAAAGGTGTTCCTTTGGGGGCCCTGCCACGACATGCAGAGGTGGCAGGTGGTACGGAGCTCAGCGCACAGAAGAGTTCAGCTGAAGCAGGAAGCAGTCAAAGAGAACAAGCGCCAGTACTTGCCGATCTTCAGGTTCATGAGGAGGACCTTAGCAGACATGGTGAGGTCACGGCGCAACGCTCAGGCCGAAGCAGATTGAACGAATCTCTCTGGCCACTTTAAATCGAGGCGGTGTCTTGGGCCCCACCCACCATGGGAACAGCGGCACTGGCCTTACGACCGCAAAAGGCAAGGGAGCACGAGGTGACCTCGTAAATCCGAGGCCTACGCTTGCGCCCTGTCCGATGGCACCATCTCGGTGACCATCCACCAGGGAACTCTCCGATCAGGCCTTCGGGCACTCCGAAACAACACTTTGATTTATGTCACGTCTCCAGGCGAAGGTAAGGAAGCCGATCTACAGGTGTTCTGCATCTCCTACTGATCGGCGCTGCTTGCAAACCTCTGGAGGGAATCAGCGGCATGTTGATTGCTGCAGCAGCAGCAGCAGCAGCAGCAGCAGCAGCAGCAGCAGCAGCAGCAGCAGCAGCAGCAGCAGCAGCAGCAGCAGTCTGTGGTTGTTATGTTCTTGCGGTGTGATTCTTGCGCAGCAGTAGAAATCCGATGTTCATACACACTTGCAGTATGTATCTACGTCGAAGCGTGCTTTCTTAAACAGGGGTGGTTCTTTTTAGGCCCGAGGAACCTAGTTTTTTTGACTTGCTGGCAACATCATATTGGCCCATGCGATTATATGTTTCCTGCCGGGCACATCATCCCGCACGGCTGTATACATCATCTAGCCCGAAACACTTGCCTTAACACGAGCTTTGCATGCAGGCGATACAGGCGTCCAACACCGATGGCAGTCTGAGAACTTTGCGGTCCATAAGGGCAAGGCCAGACATCTGACTTGGGGAGTGAATGTCGCATCTACCTATTGTTTCAAGCCACGCATAAGCCGAAGAGGATGTGATGTTGCGACAGGACAGCAAGCACGATTTATCTGAAATGTGCGTCGATCGGTCTCTTGATTCTTTACAGCCGCACGCGAGTCTCCCATGCCTGCAGGCAAACGCCGTGTCTTGGTCTTCAGCCGCCGAATCCTCGGATGATTGAAAAGCAGCAGGTCCAAGAGATGCCGGGCATTGCCGGGCCGACTCCCGAGGTGGATCCTCACAAGAAAGGGGAGGTGGTAGGAGCCTGTCGGGCGCCACAGTAAGGTTTTTTTGTTTCAAGGCACCACGGCTTTTCAAGCAAATGTCTCCCTGCCCCAAGACCGAGGTCTCGCCACCGCAGGTGAGGATGGTGCGCCCTCGCCCGTTCTCGGCAGGCAGGGTGCGAAGTCCTTGGGCCTCTTTGGCGCAGGCGTGCGAGTGTGGCACATCCTGGAGGCCTAGAGCTCAGAGATGTTCAGAGCCAAGGCGCATGCAACGCCGGATTCGGTGAATGCCAAGGTGCACGGCCGATTCCGGGAAGAGGAGCTTCCGCGACCTGGGCCGGAGGACCGAGTGCTGGGCGTTGATCTGAGCAACGGAACTGCGTCGCTTGATGTTAATTACTGTGCAAGGGTCGCGCTGGGCCGCGGTGACCTCTGCCTTTTGCTGCTGCGTGTTGTGGGAGTAGGTAGCCGCTCTTAGCTTTGGCAGTTAAGTGCATGTTGTCAGTATGTTGTCATCGTATGTCGCATCCCAAACAACTTCTGTTGATTGGAAGCCATTTGCCGAATTGCCAGCTTTATGCCTCTGTCGAAATTTACGGACTGCAGTGGGCACCAAAATCCTAAATCCCGGAAATCCCCAGATCCTAAACCTCAAGCCCTAAACAATAAACCTAAGGCAGGAAAGGTCCCACCAGCTTGCCCTAAACCCTAAACCCTAAACCCTAAACCTGTCCGACTGTCCTGAGGAGCCTATCCGCGACGTCGCCTGGAAGCCCTGGGATGGACTTGGCGACGTGCTGGCGCACGGGCCTCGAGAGCCGCTTCGGTGCTTGCGAACTAACAAAAAACCCTCTCAAGTATTTAAAGACTTAAAGGATCATGGGACTTGGTAAGTAGGGTTATATTTAGGGTAACTATACTTATATCCCCAATTAAAGGATTTGTAACCTTACTTACTAAGTCTCATGATCCTCCAAGTAGGAGCCCTACAAGACAGGTTCTCCAAAGCAGCCCATCTTAGCTTGCCCTGCGACTCCAGCACGTGCGTGTTGAATCGCGGCTGCAGGTTCGCTCAGGGCAAGCACGTGGGCTTTCTGCGCCGCCCCGCCCCGAGAAAAGGTTTCCTTCCGGGCTGAGTCACAGGAGGAAGTTTGGGGCTTGGAGCTGCGGTACTTGCGCTACTGTTCTGTTCGCATCCAACCGTTTGCAGCGAATATCGTCAAATGAACTACTCCAAGTATGTTTGGCCTACGTGGAGCCTCTTGCCTGTGATCCCCACAAGACTGATGAGCAAAACGCTCCCCAGTCTTTCACCTCCATGAAACCAGACCGCCAAGCCTCAAGAGCCCTAAGCCTACTCACTAAGCCCAAAACCCCGAAACCCCGAAAGACGAAATCTTAAACCTCAACTTACTTTTCTAGGGCCTTGGTATAACTGTAGCACAGAATGATGAACCAGAGAAATCATAGGGGCTCTACCAACAATGTAACAGGTTCGGTGGCTTCTGGCGGGTTGCGGAAGCGTAGAGGGTCGTTTAGCCCTAAACCTTAAATCCTGTATTGCTCAAGGTAGGCTGTTGCAGTTTGGAGGTAGTCGAGCCCTTCAAACCTTAAGCTCTTTGTGGCTTACGGCCTCGAGGGCTTAAGGGCACTGGTAGTTTATTGTAGTTTCAGGGTCGTTGTTCTCTTCGAGGTGAGTCTGACGGCCCTGGCTGGTCTTTGGACGCGCCCGTCAAGCTGGACGAGGACATGATCTTGAGGGAGCTCGTAGCAGGGAAAGCATATGATGGGACGGTGAAAGTCCCTTACTAAAGCTGTCATCCCAGCCTTGATCCGTAGGCTCTAAACTAAACTCAGGCACCCCGAGCCTTGACCCTTGAAATCTAACCTTTTCCCGAAACTCTATGCCCTCCATAGCATCGTGCAGGAGGTCTGGAAGTTGGAATGGCAGCCTATGGGAAGCCAGTTGGTCGTTACATGCGGCGAGAAGGACCCTGCGTTCCGTTCCTACCTTCATGAGTGCAAATACGTATGTGTGTGTGTCTGCACGCAGTTATGTACGTACCGACGTAGGTAGGCAGGCAGGCATGCATGCATGCATTTGTTCAGGTACATGCGTCCATCGAACACAAGGATGTCTGTCAAGCCTCGACCAGCATGCGGCTGAGTTTGACCCTAAACCCTAAACCGACGCACCCCAGGCTCTCAGAATGGGGATGCACAGTCGATCGGGGGATATGGGGGGGTAGTATTCAGGGTACAGGGTTGCGCAGGGAGATTCAGGCTTCAGGGTTGAAGAGTAGGACTAGGACTTAGAGTTTGGGGTTCAGGGGGCCGGCGGAGCAACGATTTCAGGGTTCTGGGTTTTGGGTTTAGATTTTATAGGGTTGTAGTTGGATAATAAGGCACCAAAAGAGGGCAGGGAGTGTTAGCACGCAGTTATCGTGACTGCCAGGAGTATCGCAGCCTGCTGTTAAAGCAGCAGCTGTGCGGGAAATGGGATGTCATTGCGGCGGCCCCGGTTTCCTTCTAGTGTCCACGGATTTTCAACGAATCTTGAACCTGCACAGTATAGCAGCCTAAACCCTAAACCCCCAAAATAATATGGATCCCTACAAAACCAAGCGCTCAAGCCTAGGACGTCAGCGGAACGACGGCGTGACGAGGGTGCTCGAAAGAAAACACACGTGCGCGACTTCCAGAGCTGGGCCGGGGTCTGCAGTTTCGGGCTAATAGGGATTAGGGTTTCAGCTAGGGTTTAGAGCTTAGGGATTAGGGATTATGGGGTTTTGGGGTTTGGGCTTTACGGATTAAGGTTTAGGGCTTGATTAGGGATTATAGGGTTTAGGGTTTTGGGGTTTGGGCTTAGGGTTTGGGGTTTAGGGCTTAATTAGGATACTCCGCCATGATCTGAGATGTACTGAGTAGTCAGTTTGCTCCTTGGAAGACACGCAGTCAACGATGATATGCTGTCGTGTTTCGTCTACCTGCGAATGTACTGCAGTTCACGCCTTCACGCGTGTATTCACCCTCCCCTAACATAACAGCCGCGGTGGATCGGACAGTTTTGGCGGGATTTCTGTCATCTGATGCCAGGTTGGTTCGATAAGTCTCATGTGAGGCGCGTATCAAGGTTCCCAGAGTGGCGACTTCGCGGTTCCAAACATATTGGTCGTAAGGCCCTTGACCACCTCACACGGAGCCCTCCACCGCACTATATCTTCTTCTCTGTCAAACTGGCTGGTTGATGCGGTGTTGCTGCGTGCGGTTTCACGCTCGGCACGTGGGGCGCTTCAAGGTATACTCGAAGAACATTCACGCACATACGATGGCGATGCTAGTTTCAGCAGGTGATCCACAGGGTCCAGTCTAGCTACCACACGGCCACGGACTCACACAACACAAGCGCATGAGCAGACCAGAACATGCTTGTCGCTCAATAGGTTTCTGAACTCTGACACCATACTCCGTAGCGTGGATCATGACGGCGGGTCGACAATCCCGCTTTGGCCAGTGGGCTGGAGTCCCCGTCAGCCAAGGCTCTTGGTGTAGTGTGCAGAGCTGTTTTGATGTGGAGGCTTCATGGCGCTCCCGCCCTGTTCCGGAAGGAGACACTGGCAAGAACGTTCCCGACGAAGAGAAGAACAAAGTTCCAGTCAAACGGCCTCAGCCCCGCTCAAGGCCGCTAAAGCAGGACTGCCGGTTCTCTCCCCCTATCTTCCCCTCCTCCCATCTACCACTACACTTCGAGCCTTGTGCAACACAGGACAGCGGCAGCAGAAGCGCCTTCGCGAACCCAAGATGGTACGGGGCCGAGGGATCCGAGGGATTCCGAGAAGCTCCGAAGAGCGAAGTGCCCACAAAAGGATCCGCGTGGTGTTTCAACCGCGGGTGGCGGCCGGCGGCAGAGATGGCTAGGGCGAAGCCTCGAAAGTTCCAACAAAAACGTGCGAAGTTTGAGAGTTGGAGGTCCGAAAGCACGCAAGCCTCACTGCTCCCACCGTCACCTTCCTCGATGCCGGGCCCCAAGCCGTGATGTGATGTGAGATGTGTGTGCCAACAATACGAAGATGATGCGTTCGCTGTGATTTCAGCCAGGCTGGAGAGGTGGTCGAAATAGCGGAAGTCAAAGCAGGCACGCTTGCGATGCAATCCTGTATGCTCGGCATTTGGAGCGTCCGTTGCGAACTCGCGGTCTTGGAGTTTGAGGGTGTTCTATTTTCGCATGGCACGATATAGCAAGGATGGGTGAGGCTCGCCGACGAAGAGAAGGACGACCGTGACGTGTCGTGGCCTTGCAGGGTCTGCACTGCCCGAACTGAGCATGCTATGATATATATATATATAATGTCTACATGTTTTTGTTTATTCATATGTATGTATGTATGTATGTATGTATGTATGTATGCATGCATGCATGCATGCATGCATGCATGTGTATATATATATATATATGTGTATGGTATCTCTGTGTGTATATATATATATATATATCTACATCTACATCTACATCTCCATCTACATCTATATCTATATCTCCATCTACATCTCCATCTGCATCTATATCTATATCTATATCTATATCTATATCTATATCTATATCTATATCTATATCTATCCACAAAAGACGTGGCTCCGGACCCGACTCCGAAGCCATCTGAAGCCTCGAAAAACGAGGTCGGATGACTGCCAGGCCTGGGCTGGGAGCTCAGAGGGCAGCGCGCAAACTTCAGACGGCCGTGGTAATCAGCGTTTTGGGGTTTAGGGATTAGTAGTTTAGGGTTTCGGGCCTTGGGAATTAGTAGTTTAGGGTTTAGGGTGTTTTTTGGGGAATTTTGGGGGTTTCAGTGGTGCTTGGTAATCCAAAACCCAAAGCCAACAGCTAAGACTCCGCTAGTGCACCTGGAGACGTGTGAGGTGCTGCAGGATGGCAAGGAAGTCAGTCTCGGGGTCTTGTGCCGTGGCCGCACGTTTACGATCCCAACTCAGCGATGACCGGACGACCCCGCTTGTGGCGTGAGGTGTGAGGATTGGGAGCCACGCTGGTTCTGCGTGGACGGGGGGCCCGGCCCAGTTTCACAGGAAGGCAACCAAGTTGACAGGAGATTTCAGACCTGGCGCGCCCAAGTCTTCAGGTCTATGAGCCGCAGGTGGCGGTGCGCAAGAAGCCCTCCTTGCAGGCTCCGAGAGCTCTGCGAGTTGAGAGAAGCCAAGAGAAAGACTCTAAAGAGGCGCACCCGGTGGCCTTTCTCAAGACGGGAGAGATCATTGAGGTGGGGCCGTTGCTGTGTTTGCGCACCCAACACAAGTCCCGAAACTCTGACTAACCTGAGCACTATATCCCTTCACACGAACCCAAAGCCATAAACGTCACATGTCCGTGCAGATTCGAACCAAAGTGATGAATGCCCCGCAGGCACCCGTGCTGCATTCCAGCACAGTCTTGCTGAAAGGTAGGTGGTCGTCCCAGCACCTAGCGCTTTGAGATAATGCCGAACGGTGGCCGCCGCCGCCGCGCCGAGTGGGACCATGGTGGCCGTTGGCAGTGGAGGCAACATTACGCTGGCAGGCCTTCGCGAAATGCATTCAAACACGACGTGTATTTATGTACGTATTCATGCACGTATGTATATATATATATATAAATATGTGTATATACATATCTATACATATCTATACATATCTATACATATCTATACACATAATTACATACATACACACACACATACATACATACATCCATCCATACATACATACAGACATACATACATCATATATAAAGAGAGATATCTATTATCCCAGCTGTATATGTATAACGACATGATATAAACATATATGTCGTATGTATGTATGTATGTAAGTAAGTATGTAAGTAAGTAAGTAAGTATGTATGTATGTATGTATGTATGGATGGATGGATGTATGGATGTATGGATGTATGGATGTATGGATGTATGGATGTATGGATGTATGGATGGATGCGTGTGTGTACATACGTACATACGTTCGTGAGTATATACATACATGCATGCCTGCATACATATAGAACTCTCTCTCTCTCTCTATATATATATATATATAGACGTAGACACGAGTCACACTGCACTTCGACCGTCTTGAGACACTCTCAATCCGGTCCCCGGTTTGTTTTTCCCATAGTGCCAGGCGCTATTGGAACACGTGGGAAGACGTCGACGCCCATCGCAGCTGGGGTCTCCATTACAAGAACCAAGTCGCAGAAGAGGAGTATAGCAGCGGCGCCTTGCCAGTTATGAATAGAGTGATGCCGAACTCCAAAGACCGTGTTCATGCACCATCGAGTCGGGTCGGGAGCCAATGTGCCGCAAGCACCCATCAGCAATGACGTGCAAGCCGTCATGCAAAATTTCGTCCGCCTGCAGTGGATGGTGCCGGAGCAGGCCGCAAAGATCCTGCGGGCGGCCATGCCGACGCCGTATGAAGACTGAAAAGAGCAGCGCGCTCTGTTTACGGCCGCGGAGAAGCCTTTGCGGAGTCATTGATTTGTGCAGCAATTCGGAAAAAGGATTTGACAGTGAGTCTGGCCCGACCAGGCCGAGCTGCATGCAAGTCTAATATACAGGCTTGGCACCTTTGTCGCACAACCTGGAGCCTTAGGTCGAGCGCCTTCTGCTTTGTTTCAGATGGACTGGCAAGCCGAATTTCCAGACGGTTTACAAACCCAAATCGCTCTCTGTATCGGCACAGGGTTCAGGTATCACGGCCAAGGGACCAGGGTTTGCTCATAAGTTGTTAGAGCCAGCACTTCAGCACATGACTTTGTCCGTGCAGTTTCGAACCACGGCGGTGAATGCCCCGCAGGCACCTGTGCTGCATTCCAGCCGCTTGTTTTTCCCATGATGCCAGGCGCTATTGGAACACGTGGGAAGACGTCGACGCCCATCGCAGCTGGGGTCTCCATTACAAGAACCAAGTCGCAGAAGAGGAGTATAACAACGGTGCCTTGCCAGTGACGAATAGAGTGATGTGCACCATCGAGTCGGGTTGGGAGCTAATGTGCCGCAAGCACCCATCACCAATGACGTGCAAGTCATTATGCAAAAATTCGTTCGCCTGCAGTGGATGGTGCCGGGGACCGGACAGTTAAGGATTAAGAGTGTCTCAATACTGTCGAAGTGAAGTGTAAGTGCTGAACAACTCGTGTCTATATAGTTGTATACATATATGTATATATATATATGTATATATATATATATTATATGGTTCTATATGTATGCAGGCATGCATG